TCAAAGATCAACTGAATCAAGACTACACTACAGTCTTTTTCCAACAGGGTCTCGCTGCCTGTCTAAATTGTGAACAGTTAATTTATGTTTTACAAGGAACCGATAATATGATCTTTCTGTTCGACACGACGAATCATATTATCTACAATGTAAAATAATGGAGTTATGATTGCATAAATAAATAAACTGCAAACATAAATACTTTGACTAAAACACGATTGCCAGATCAAAATGATATTGTTCATATATGAAAGTCAAGCTTTTACAGCAGGTTTATATTGGGTATGAATTTATAAGGGAATCTTTATCAACAGAACATCATGAACCTCCTTTTGCACTTCCCAACATGCTGCATCGTCAAATAAATCTCATTCTTACTCTTCTACTCATAAACCTTCAACAACAATAAACCCCATAAACCTCATTTTTTATGGGTCTCACATGTTTCCCACTTACTTTTACTTAATATTACACTCTTATATTTTCGTCATTATTATTACTCCACCTTTTATTTTTATTCAATCTAAATGTCACATATATTCATCATAAGTATATATAAATTACCACTACTATGAAGACGTTACACTCGGGTTATAGCGATAGAGATAATATAATTGTATATAATTAAAAGTGTTGATTATGTACCAATGAAAAATTATATTTTAAAATAATTTTGAAACATAGAACTTACATAATGCTGAAAGCTAAATTTGAGTATATGTCTGAAATATGTATGGTATTTTCGTTCAAATAAAATTAAAATTATTTTAGTATCCAAAAAGAAATATTTATATATAAATTCAATTTTCTAGTATAAGAATGAGTTAGATGTGTTGTTGAAAAAACAAGTTAAAACAAGCTTTTTTTAAGTAGAATAAACGCCAACAAACATTTATCGAACAAGATAGAAATAAAAATATGTTATTTCCATTAAAATAAAATTATAATTATTTTAGTATCCAAAAAAAATTAAATTCCATTGTATAGTATGTGTTGAAGTTTATAATTCTATAATTTATAATTATAAAATATTAAGTAATTTATGTTAATTGATATTATCAATTTTTTTTGTTCTATTCTAAAACTATAAAAATAAACAATAGTTCCTAATGTTAAAAAAAAAAGAAGAAGAAAAAGAAAAAGAGTAAGTGGGTCATTCACTTTGAATATATATATATATATATATATATTATTTAAAAAGGTTTGAGTGAGGTTTACTTTTGCAAACTTCTTTTTAATGTATAAACCTCAAACCTTTGTAGTTTAAATAGTAAAACCTTGAAGTTGGGTTTATAAACCTCCACAAAAACTCTTACTAAAGATGCCCTAAGTAAGACCATCTGCAATCCATTACTATACTCCAATGTAGAAAATGCGAAAACTTAACTTTTGTCTCTAGTTATTCGCGCTACAATTTACTTTACATAAAATATATTAGTACAAAATAAAATGTAAACACAACTATAAATTTAAATTTAAAACTATTAAACAAAATAAATAATTTTGTTGATGAATAATAGGAAGATATATTGCCATATGAACTATAACGATTTCCGCACATCACCATATAGACTTTTTTTTTTTTTTTTTTTTT